AAAACCTGAACAGATTTAAAGGATGCCTGGAATAAGCAACTCCATGTTTCAGACAAATGAGATTCCTGGGGAGTAACACGACAATCTACAGCCCATTTGGGAACGCCCTGATTTGGAGTGGCCAACTACTAGTCAATGAGGGCACGGCCAGCAGCAAACTCCTGGGGCAATACTGGCTGCTTGTTTACATGGGTTCTCTCTACTTTTGGCTTTAGAAGAGGGTGGGAGTGAGAAAATGAGCCTCTCCAAGGGAGGCTTCGGTCATAGGACTAGGAAAGCTTTGCTGGGAACCAAGTGGGAGCTGTACTGGGGAGGGCACAGAGTACTGATGCCAGGAGGTCAAATGGCATGAAGGCAAGTGTGTCCTGCAGCACCACAGTTGAGTCAAGTCACCTGTCTCTAATGGTCTCACAGTAGCCTTTAGAAAAGATGCCAACAAGGATTCTTCACTCACTCTCAGTGCCAATCCTGATGCTACCCCCCATTCATTCCCATTTTCCTCCTACTTAGGAGTAGAGATTTTCTGTTGTAGAGCCATGGAAGGAACAGAGCACCCTGGCACTCCAAATGGCAGGACTGGGAGGGCATTAGAAAGACAGTGACTGGCTTAACTATGCAGAAGGATGGGGGTGGGGGGCAGAATGGGAGAGAATTCATGGATGCCAGTGCCAACCAGCTGGGCTGACCTGGCTGCCTGAGCATCAGGATTCCTCCTATGCCCTCCCAAATACAGCTTCACTGCACTATTCTCAACAAAATTCCCAAGCTTCCTCTTCTATTTTAGGGGTTTAGTTGTTTCTCCCCATCTCTTTGGGAGAGGCTTTTGCATTAGTGCTGTCCTGCAGGGGGCCCAGCCGACTAGTACAGAACAGGAGCAGCCTCTGAGAATGTCACATGGGCTAAGTTATGTTTTTTAAAAAAAACTGGAAAACAGACTAAGTTCTCTTATGTTCCTTACGCAATGGATATTATTTAATTCCATATTTTATGAAAAATTCTCCGCGGTTTAAGTAAAAGTTGTTACAACACTAGAAGTATTGTTCACTCTCTCATACCTACCAACTTCCTCTTACAATCTACTGCTTTTTAGTCACTTGGTATAAATTCAGGCCCAAGCATCAGAAGGGAATGCCTCCCATTTTAAAGTAATGTTCTAACAAACCTCAAATGGAGAGGTACAATGTTTGATAGATTCTGTATGTTACAATGACCAAGAAAACAAATACCTACAGAGAAGCATAGAAATGTAGGGCTGGAAGGGTTGTGGAGAGGTCATCTAGTCCAACCCCCTGCTTTGGGGCAGGACCAAGTACATCTAGACCACCCCTTACAGGCGTTTGTCTAACCGGTTCTTCAAAATTTCCAATGACAGGGACTGCACAACCTCCCTTGGTAAGCTATTCCAGCTATCCTTATAGTTAAAAATTTTCTCGTAATATCTAACCTAAATCTCCCTGGCTGCAGGTTAAGCCCACTACTACTTCTAACTTCAGTAGACATGGAGAACAATTAATCCCTGTCCTTAGCCCTTAACACACTTATAACGGCCCTGACCACACTGAAGACTATCAGGTTCCTGCCAGTCTTCTTTTTTCAAGACTAAATATAACCAGTTTTTTTTAAACCTCCTCGCCTTATAACCTATACTCCTAGTGGAATTCTGCCCCACTGCACATGCTCAAAATTCATGTGCCACGCTGAATTTTGTTTTCATCGTAGAAAATACATTCTGCTGGAAAGGTGCTGCAGTTACTCTGTTTGCCAACTAGGGGCTGCTGTGGAGAAAGAACAGAGAGCAGCCACACCCATGCGGGAGCAGACCCAGTAGCAGATAGGGAAGAGAAAGAGATTGCTTTCCTCACAGCGCCCTGCCAGTGCGGCCAGGTCAGGAGGCACAGAAATATGAGGGGGGTGGACAGCATGGGACAGATGGGGCGGGCTGCTGGGAGGGGTCACAGTCTGAGGTTCAGAAGGGCTAGTGGAGAGAACAGACTGGGGCAGCAGCTGAATGGGAGTGGGGGTGCAAGGACACATGGGGATGGGGAGGCGTGCAGGGACACATGGGGACAGGGGCAGATGTGCCTCACTGAATAAAGGGGCTAGGGGTCAGCCATGGTATGCATGGTGGAGGCTCCCTAACAATCCCTCCCCACTCCAAAAAAACCTGTTCCATACTTCTCCACCCACACCATCAACCCTCAAAGTTCATACCCAGGCTCCTTCCCAACAACTTCATCCCTCTCCCTCAACTCCCCTGTTACCCCGACTCTCCCAAGCCTTTGCACTGTTTCTGAGAGATGTAGGAAATATGTTTCTGTATTGTAGTTTAAATGAATTATTACTCAGAGTTCTGTATTAATATGCCTAGTAAGGAATATATTTGTCAAAAAACATTTCCTGAATCTTTTTTTTTCGTCCGTATTGTTACGGACATAGTTGCCGACAGGTATTTTGCAATAAATTACCAAAATAATTGAAACTGGCGTGATTACATTGTGTTGTTTTCACAAATAAAATTTTGCAGAATTTTAAAATATTGTGTGCAAAATTTTTAAATTTTTGGTGCTGAATTCCCCCAGGAGTAATCTATGAACCTATGACATGTCTAGCCTCTCTCACAACTGTATCACATTGTTCTCTTATATTTCACTTGTGAGCCACTTAACCCCCAGATTCTTTTCAGCATTACAACCACCATGCCATTTATTCACCATTTTGTAGTTGTAGCTTTTATTTTTCCATCCTAAGTGTAGTATTTTGCACTTATCTTTATTGAATTTCATCTTTTTGATTTCAGACCAACTCTCCAATTTGGAGAGATGGTGGAAAAAGTTGCTCACTTACAGCTATGGGCTACTCTCACCAATTGCTCCTATTCTCCCATGTTTCACTCTCCCCATTGCCTACTCTGCATTTTACTGCACAGTGGAACAGAGAAAATGAAGCAGGGGAAAATAACAGAGAACAAGTGAGACAATGCCACAAAATGACAAAACTGGAGCATCAGGCCAAAGGCTATCTCCTGCCAAGAAAGTGAAGGTTGCATAAGTTCTCCCACACCCTTGAATTGGGGGCGGGGGGCGGGCGGGGGGGAGAGAAGGTGCCCACTGTGCTCCCTTTTCCTTGATTCTTATTCAAATTAAAAAAAAAAACAACCAAATCTGAAAATATTTTACAAAACAGGCCTTAATAGCGGACAACTGTATGTTGAATTTAGACATTTCATTCAAATTGGATTTTTTAAAACAACAGTACATCATGTTTCTGTTCACTGATATCTGAACTGTATATCCTGGAGTGCATACCCACCCAAGCCACAGTACACGAGTCATTAGGAAAGATTGGTTGAAAAAGCTTTCCACTTGACCAGAAAAGAACAGAACGTTGGCATTTCAGCACTTGGACTTCTTCTGTGCTTTCCCCTCGAAATAACTCACTATGGACTACTCACTTGTCACATTTATTGTATTTTAAAACACAGAGGTTTAATTTCAGCAGTACAAATGACCTACACCAGCACCACAAATGTAGAACATTCTTCATTAAATGGTTATCCTTATTGTATTTAATTACAAGTAACTATAACTTAATGACTGATGTTGAACAAACCCTTGAGGTCAAATAAAATCTTCCCTCCCAACCTCCCACCCCACCATACTACTGTTTAACGTTAACTTTGCCTTATTATCATATCAGATTTTTACTTAAGGTATTCTGCTTATTTGTCTAGAAAGATATTCTAGCTAAGTCACAAGAAAAGCCTTAAGGAAAGGGATGTCGAAAAGAAGTATATATGAGATTAATTTCAAACCACTGAGCCTGTAACATTTACAACTAATAAGGATGAAAAAACAAAAAGAGGAATGGCTTACAGGATGACATGGGAAGAAACTTTCTTTACACTACAACTTCAAATGCTTCCTGAACTTCCCTAAATTCCATATGAATTATTTAGAGTGCTCTCTTTCTTCTTATTGGTGAAATCTTTAGGGACATCTTACACTTTACATATTAAGTAGACAGTTATTTATCCCCAGTCACAGAAGACAACATTGTGTCTATATTTGGGCTGCTACGTTCCCATCCCCTTTCTTCCTTAAATTGCATTTCTATAGGAATATTTGGAAACTGAGAACATATTATAATCCTGGCAACAGGAAGAAACATTTGTCTATCATCAGAGAGAAAGAGAGAGTGTTTTCTTTCTGATCCTTTTTAAAGGGAAGGAGGTTCCCCCTCAAGTCACTTTGATTTTTCTGTGCAGAACAATGGATGACCAGACATTAGATCTACTGATGTGCACAGGAGACCAAATTTCAGTTTGGACAAGACTCATTCACAATGATAGTATGAAGGGTCAATCCACACTCAGAACACTACTTGTCACAATGCAGTTTTATTTTTCACTAGCCTTGTAAAAGATAAAAGGATGCAACTATCCTTGTTTGCAATCCCTTATATATACACACACACACCATTTTATGTAAGTCGGAACATAATCAATCTTAGAAAAACATAGGGTGCCTATAACCTTGGCAACTAATACCAAAAAGGAGGAGGTATAAGGAGGAGATGAATTTAGCAAGGCCAAGGACTGTACCTTCAAAATGTTTGCTCTTGCCTGAGTGACAGCAGAAGAGGAGCATCCGAATAGTCCACAGTGGTGGTGCCATGTACAGAATATACACTACAGCATTGTACAACAATTTTTGTAGTCAAAAGCATGGAAAGTGGTTTGAAACAGCTTTATCATCATAATCAAACCACCATAAAAGCAGCAAAGCTCCATTTCCAAAACTTCATTTAATAGTCTGCCTAAGTCTTTTTGCAGCTAAAGAATATTTTAAAAGCAATAGGTCACCGTAGTTTTTCAGAGGTATCTACAAAGCAATCTGGAACACTGATAAGCATTCTTTAAGAAATATCCATTTCAATCAGGTATGCATCATTCTAACAGGCTTAGAGTTGACATTCCTGATAGGAAAAAAAATTATACATACCTCAAAGCCAAGTCTATCTTTCTCTTTCCAAAAACAAAAATGTGTAACCTTCTTGTCCCAAAATTCATCAGGTTTTACTACACAAACAAGTGATACCTCAGCTGGAACAACATTCTGCAAAACAAATGAAAACAGATAAAACATTCAAGATTAAATTCTCATTTATGACAAAATCAACTTGCATTTAGACAGCACTGTTTATCCAGGATCTTAATACTCTCTACAAATATGAATTAAACAAGGCTTACACCATCCAGGTGACATAGGTGGCTGTACACTAATTCTACATAGAGAAATTATACAGCAATTAAGTAATTTGCACTAAATCACACAGTGAGTCAGAAGAGAGCTGGGGAAAGAATCAGGTCTCTTGATTCCCAAAAGTGTACTCTAACCACTAGCCACCCTCCATCAGTAATGGAAAACAGAAAAAACAACCCTATTTACCTGAATGAATATTACTTGCAATACTGTGGTAACAAAACCATGTACTATGGAAAAGAAATTAAATTGCAAGCTTTATACAAGCTAACTGATACTATATTTCAAGTCAGAACTCCAAAGCTAGGTCAACACAATAAAGAAGTAAGTCAAGTTAGATGAGAAATATATACTTTACTATTAAATCAGGATTTAAGATCAATGGATCTGCTATTATAATGTAAATATCATGTTTACTGTTCCCAGAATAGAAACGCTCTGTATCATTAAATTGATTAAATATTTTTAATGATGCATTAAGTTGACAAACCAATATTTTCCTTACAAAACCTGAGTTCAAATATATTTTGCCTATTTATATATTGTCCTCACATCACAGGACAGGCAGCTACACACATTACTCTTCTGTGAGGTCATCAGTTGTAATATAGGACAAAGATATATGAATACAGTACTGAGGACTGAAAAGCACTGTGAGTAGAACTGATTTTAAATGATCTTGTTTTAAGATGAAAAACAATTAATATAGGACAATTAATTAAAATTGACCCAAAATTTAGATTTTAAAAACAAGGTTTGCAAAACCTAAATCTAATAGGGGAAAAAACAAAAACAAACAAAAAAACAACTTGTCTTCATGGGTTTCTCTCCACACTCACAGAAACGGTTGTTTTTAAACACACATTCCCCTACAGCGTTTCCAACCCAAATACTGCCTCACTAAAAAAGTAAAGTGACTTAATTGATTTTCTTTGTCCAACCAGAGAAATATGAGAAGTGATCAGCATAAATAAGTGATTTAGATTTTCTAAATGATAATTTGAGAGAGATGATTACTTGCAGGAGCAAGAAAATGTATTTGAAATATCATTCTTCATAACAGAAACAATGAGACACATTACATGTACAGACAGAAGCCTGGAATCAAGTGCTTCTAAACATCATTATTATTCTAGAACATGTGACCCACATCCTGTTGAAGAGCACGCATACAGACTTAAGGAAAGAGGCAACAGGCACTTGACAAAAGAGAAAAGGTTGGGGGTCCAAATGTCAAATCTCATTAAGTCAGCAGTCAGTAGCTCTTAAAGTTACTCTTAAGGCGAAAAGGAAAGAGTTGCTCTTCCTGAAAAATCAAAATGCAGGAAACTAACACTCACTAAAAACTGACAAAGGATAAGTAATCAGTCAGCCAAGCAGAGAAGAATTAGCAGCCTATTGGTGTAAGTGATGGATCTATGAAGCAGCACCTCCCACTTCTATTAGGTATATTTTTAAATCCACCCGAGAGAAGTTTTATTTTTGCAGAGAGAATTTGAACCTCTCAAATTTGTAAAAATATTTATAAAAAAACATCACTGTCACAGAGAGACCTGTAACTTCAGTGGACATGAAAAGCTTGGTCCCTTGATACAGTATGAAGTAGCACTAATGCTCACTATGGAAGCTGGAAAGAAGCCCACAAATTGTTTGTAGTTAGGAAGCAAAAACTGCTTTGAAACCAAGTAGCCAGGAGGGTTCTCTTTTGAGCAGAGAACTGCCTATTGTATTCAACATATACAAATCCTGGTTACCTTACTTAGATGAACAGTCCTATTGACGTCCTCTGCAACGGGATTTGGCTTTAAAGAGACTATTGGTATAGCTAAAATGAGCAGGATTTGGTCCTTGGCATTTTCTACCACAAGACTGCACACAGAGGGCCAGCTCTGTGTGGGGGGGAGGGATAGCTCAGTGGTTTGAGCATTGGCCTGCTAAACCCAGGGTTGTGAGTTCAATCCTTGAGGGGGCCGTTTAGGGATCTGGAGCAAAAATTGGGGATTGGTCCTGCTTCAAGCAGGGGGTTGGACTAGATGACCTCCTGAGGTCCCTTCCAACCCTAACCTTCTATGAATCTATGAATAATGCTAGACCTACATATCCATAACTGACATCAAAAAAATATTTAAACTGCAAATAAACTTTAATTTCTGACCTAAAAAACAACATTGCATAGAAATGCAAAAGCAAATGTACATTAGAAGAATAAACAATTTAGAATCATTATTTGTGATACGAAAGTTGGTGAAGAGTCATATCCTGTTGAAAATTTTCAAGATCATGTTATTTATTGCTCATATGGGTGTAGCTCAATATTTTGAAAGCTTGATAAAGTGTTACCCTAATAATTGAACAAACAACATTCCAAGGTCCAGATTTTCATCCCAGCGTCTAAATTTGTGCAAGACAAGGCATTCTGGGAACCCTAAAAATTCAAATGTCCATGTTAAAATTGAATAAACTCCTAGTTTCCCTTTCTGAGTGCACAAGTAAAGTACAAATTTTGAAATGCCCAAATGTGAACACCTATAAAGTTACATGTGCAATGCAGGGCATGCAAATATAGAGGATTCTTTTGAAAATGTGGCCCTAAAGTCTATTCTTTCAGTTTCAATTTAATGTATTAATTCAAATTATTTGTCTTTACCAGATTCATTACAAATTGAAACTGCAAGATTATAGTTATTGTGCTTATTCAACTAAGCTCTTTCCCTCTACCCCTTATTTAAAAATGAATAGTTTTGTGCTTCCTTACTTTCTGAGTACTTACTCATAAGAATGATCCTGCATTCCACATCTTCTCTCTTATTTCTTAGAAATCGAAATTAGAGGCAAATGCATTTAGTCTTTCCCCACATGCTACAATTAGATTTCTGTAGCTGGTACTAACAACACAGCAACATACCTGTATTCTGTACTAGCTGGAGCTCCTGGAATGGCTTCATAAATAACCAAAAGCAGAGTGCCCAACCAGCAGTCTAGATTGGAAATGACAAAGGCTGGAAAACCACTGCCATGCCTATATTGAAGAGGGAAGGCCACAGCCTCCCGATTAGCCATAGATTACGAAAGGTCACAGAAACACCAAAGAATCTAGGAGCATCAATGATCCATATGCCCCAGACATTGTAAACTATTCACATTTAACATGATAATACACTTGTAGAAGTTTTATCTATATCTGAACTGAAGGCTGCTCAGATCAAAACTAGGTTCTGTCATTTCCCATAGTTGCACCTCGGCAGTAAAAAGAAGAATGACTGTGTAATGCATTTTAGAGTTCCATAGGCTACATGTGTGCTGCATGTTGGAGTCCCTTTTGCCAGAGTTCTCATGCTGTGCAGCTCTAAATAATGGTAAACTTTTCTTCTGAGTTTGTACAACACATAGCTCAATGGGGTCCTGATCCAGGAGCTCCTAAGAACTACTCGAATACACATTAATAGTAGGAGTATCAGCTAGTTTTTTCTCACTTTTTTTTATTTACAGATTTTGTATTCATTGAAGTGTTATTTTCAATATTCCGCTTTTTCACCACTCCCGACATGTAAGTGAGGCTCCTAGCAGAGATGCAGTCACAATATGATCTGCTTCACCATCAATAACCTGATAATAGTCTACTCTACATTTTCTTTTCATCAAACCCAGATTCTATTACACCTTACTTTTGCTAAGCCTGATCAGAGGTGGGGATACTGATAAAAGCAAACCCAGCAGAGAGACATTACTCCTCTTTTAGATAGGCTATTTGGGTTAAGTGGGAAGAAAGGAGGGAGTGAGGATGGAAATCTCTGCCTGCGCTATCTGAAGTGGACATATGCCTGGCTTCCACCAAAACAGTTTGCAGTCTCAGGTTCTATCCACCTCTTTTCCTTGACTTGGGGAGTTTCAGTGCCCCAGGATTATCAATCATGAAAGGCTGGCTAGCAGATACAACAATTCCTCTTTAATATGGGCTTGAAAGTCAGCCACAAGCACCTCTTCTAGGCTAGATACTGCAATGTGCTATATTTAGGACTTCCCCAGAAGCTCCAGTTACCACAAAATTCAGTGGGCCCCCTCAGGTGCTCACAGCACTGAACAGCTGTACTCAAGTTTTGCTCCTAGAAATGACAAGGAAGCCCATCACCATATTAAAAAGAAGGCAGCCTCCAATCTGCTCCATTTTACACAAAATAAAACAATCCTAGGATCTTAGCAAATAGCTTAGGTGACCCTCAGTTGGAAAAAATTTGAATAACTCTCTATAGAAGTATATAAACCCCTTTTCACATTAATTGCTTCTACTTACAAAATTCTGTGCAACATAGCATATATTCTGTAATTAAATTACAAATGGATTGTTTCCCAATAAAGAAATTTCAGCTGTTACAGTAACGCAGCATTTTGACTTCCATCTATAAAACTAATCTGCTGACTGTGAATACATAAAAATTGATTTACCTGGAGCATTAAAACAACCGTCTTTACCACATTCCATTGAGATTTTCTGCCATCCACTATCACAGTAAATCCTCTAGCTTTACACTTTTCACTAAAACAAAAAAGAGATACTTTTAGAAAACAGTAAAACTCAAGAACAAAATGTCAGATATCACCGTGATTAGCTTGGCTTGACTTTCGTCACAACCATTTTAAAAGTAGGACACTGCTAGGAAATTTTGCCATTTTACTTACTAAAAATCTTCCCTTAAAAATTGAAGTATGTTCACTTACAAAATATGTTTCCTTTAAATTGCTCAGGCATTCTTGTTTGTTATTGTACCATACTAGCAATTTTTAAACAGCATTAATACATTTTCTGGAATATCAAATATTTATTATATTTTTGTGTTTATATTGTAGTTCCTCTTATCAAGGATCATACAGTACCCTATAAACATTACACAAATAAATATCACAAAATCCCTGTGAGGTAGTACAGTATTTTATAGATGGGTAACAGATGCATAGAGGGGTTAATTTTCCAAAGGTCACCCAGGAAGTCTGTTGTAGAGGGAACAATATAAATTCCATATCCTGTTCCTAAATCACTTGATCTAGCTCACAATCCAGGAGAACATTTAGGCTCATGCTTAATTTCAAACATGCATTTAAGTGTTCCTTCTGAATCAGGGCCCTTACTACAACATACAAAAAGCCAGCCAGAAGAATACAGACTTTGCAAGCAGATATAAAAGGGGAAAATGTAGTTCAAATTGACAGTACTTATTTACTCCCTTTTTAAATTAACAACTTTAAGTACAAAATATATAATTTTTAAAGAAGTATATAGTCATACCAAAAAAATGTTGAAAGAACATTAAGGTTACAAAGTCAAGAGCTCAAAGGTTAGAAAATGCCAGCACTAAGGTTGTCTGTGCCCAGCGTCTGCATCCTCCTCCTTCTTGCCTAGGTGTCAGCAAAGGGAACATACAGAACACAGAAAATCTCTCTCCATACTCTCAATTCCAGTGCCAGGCACCACAGCATCTAGCAACATGAAGAGTCCTGCTCAGTGCCTGTAGTTCTAGGCTAGGGCATGTTTGTCCAGATGGAACATTCAGAGAATTTAGCTGTTGGTGTCTAATGAACCTTCACTGAGCCCATGAATATAGCAATTTTCAGAGGCTTATAACTTGGTCAAATTTTGGTGGACTCAGGGTAACATACTTGCCAAATTTTAAGTCTCTGCTTTAAATCTGAAGGCTCTCGAGCAGTGGTTCCCAAACTACGGTTTGCGAACCCCTGGGGGTTTGCAGAAACAATTTTGTAATGGCAGACACAGCCGTCCCTGGGGACTCTAGGCATGGCGGGGGCAGCAGCCAGGACCCAGGTGCGTGGGGCCAGCAGCCGGAGACCCATGGAGCATGGGGCCAGCAGCTGGGGACCCTGGGCACGCAGGCAGCAGCTAGGGACCCTGTCCCTGGCAGACAGGAACTTGGGCAGCATGAGGGACAGAGTGGGAGGGGGAGCTGCGCTGCACCTGGGGCCATCCAAGCTCAATTGTCCCTGGCCCCGCAACCCCCTGATGGTGGAAGAAAAAGTATTCGCGTATCAGCCGGAACCAAGGTCATTGTAGCCAATGTGGTGGTAACAATCCCCAGTCAGTCCGTACTCAGTCATTCTCTGTAGCATGGCATTTTACTCTAATGAGACTTGAGTGAATCTTCTCATTTACTAGTTTGTTCGTTTGTTAGCATTCTTAGTGTATTATTTTTATTTGAACTGTTGTACACCCAATATGGACACATGGCTGAAAACAGAAAGTGTAAAGACACAAGAAAACAAACGTTCAACATCAGCAGCTGTTTCGTCAAGTCCGAAGTGTGGAAAATCTCAGTCAAATGATTGTGATGGTCCTGGAAAGTCGCTTATGAAGAAAAGGAAATATGACAACTGTTATATAAAATATGGCTTTACATGTATTGGTGATCAAGAATGTCCAAAACCAGAGTGTGTAATTTGTGGTGATATTCTAGCAAACAGCAGCCTCAAACCTTCTCTACTTCAGTGCCACTTAGAAACTAGGCACCCCACACAAGTCAACAAGCCTGTTGATTTTTTCAAGAGAAAATTAGCCAAGTAGAAAAGTGACATTACCAGTTTTGTATCCAAAGCAAGTACTGGTAAAGAAAATGCACTTAGTAGCTCACTCGGTATGACGCTTCGAGTAACAAAAGGATCAGAAGCCCATACCATAGCAGAGAGCTTGATTGGTCCAAGTATAAAAGACACAGTTCATTGCACGCTCAGAGAAAAGGCTGCAAAAAGGATTGACGTAGTACTTTTGTCCAATAATATGTTGTCGAGAAAAATTAATGACGTCAAGTAATGTAGAGACCACAATTGTACATGGAGTGAAAAATAGTCCATATCATGCTATACTTTTGTATGAATCAACTGATGTTGCTAATCTATCTATATTGCTAGTGTTTGTACATTATGTGAATGAAGGTATGGTTGAAGACGACTTGTTTTGCCGACCATGGAAAGACCATACAACTGAAGAAGATATCTTCAATCTGACTAATGCATATTTTCAAGAAAAGGAAATAGATTGCCTAGACATTTACACTGATGGGGCCACATCAATGATGGGGAAGCATACAGGATTTGTAGCTCGAACAAAAAAGGCTGCATCAAACGTCTCTTGGACTTCTTGCAATATCCATAGACAAGCCCTTGCAGCAAAACGCATGCCTGAGGGACTGAAGGAAGTGCTGGACAATGCAGTGAAAACGGTGAATTTCATAAAATTATGACCAACAAATTCCAGAACATTTCACATACTTTGTGAAGAAATGGGTAGTGTACACAATTGTCTGTTGTCCCATACCAAAGTTAGATGGCTCTCACGTGGCAAAATCCCTGTGCGTTTGTTTGAGCTTAGAACAGAATTCCTTGTTTTTTCCACCTCGCCAGCTGTATGGAAAATCATGCCTGACTCCAGAGCCTAGCTTATTTAGCAGACATTTTCTCGAGGATTAATGACCTAAATTTATCTCTTCAAGGCCTCAATATAACAGTTTTCAATGCGCAAGACCGAGCTGAATCCATGATAAAGAAGTCGCAGTTCTGGGAAAGGTGTTTGGAAAACAATCAAACTGAGTGTTTCCGTACTCTTCGTGACTTCCTGGCATAACAAACTTTGGTTGGATCAGTGCACTAAAACCAATATAACTGCACACCTAAAAGGACTTTGCACAATGTTCAGGGAATACTTTCCAGTCAAGCGATAATGACTGGATTCGCAACGCCTTTGATGATACCACTCCCTCAACGGAGATATTGAGCACTGAGGAAAAAGAGAAATAGATTGAGATCTCCTGTGATTACGTACTGAAAAGGAGTTTCAGAAGTCGGTCACTGATCAACTTTTGGCTGAGTTTAAGAAACTAGTACCCCCTGCTGGCAGAAAAAGCTACTATCGTTTTGTTACTGTTTTCAACAACATACTTATGCGAGAAAGCATTTTCCTCGTATGCACATCTGAAAACCAAACACAGAAGCAGACTCAATGTCAAACCAGACCTTTCTCCAGTGGTTCTGGACTTCCAAGAGCTATGCAGATCAAAGCAAGTGCATTCATCACACTGCGGAGATTTAAACTTCAAGACTCCTTATGAGAAATGGAAAGGGAGGAGGATATTTTTTGCTGTTTCTAAAATTAAATAGGCTGCTAGTGTTGTTTTTAAAAATTATTACCAAGAACAAGTTTAAGCTTTGCTATAGTCATGCATTGTTTGCCTGGACTGCTCAAGATCCAAATGCTTGTGGGAGGAAGGAACTCTTTATTTGAGTTGGCTTCTTAAATACCTTCATGCTGGTTCATGTCTGGTACTCCTTGATGAAACATTAGGAGCCTTGTCTTATAACAGACTTAACTGAAGTGATATGAGCTACAAAAGTGGAATCTTGGAAGAATACTGCCGTTTTCGTAATGTAATAAAATAAATAATGTAATGATAAATAATTATTACACACTATTTATTATTACATTAACATGTCATTAAAAAACTAAATTATTTCCAAGATCCCTGCTTCTCTAATTTATGCTCAGGTAAGGCAGAAAATCTCTGGAAATACTCATTTTTAGGAGGAGGTTCACAAGATTTGGTATTTTTGTGAAAGGGGTTCGCGGGTTGTTAAAGTTTGGGAACCACTGCTCTAGAGCTTCTCAGTGAAATGACTCAGCATGGGAAGTTTCAGTCTCAACAGTTAAAAGTTCAGCAAGTGATAAGCAACTGAGAACATTGGAAAGCATTAACTAACCATGCACACTAGTACCAGCTCTGACTATAAATTGTTAAGACAGACAGACATTCTAGTCATTGTTCAAATACATACAATATTACTACACATGTATATATTTTTCGTTCACTATAATTGTACCATTATGGGACTAAGATGGATTTACTATCACTTACGAGCTGTCAAGTGTACTTAAAGAAAAAACGGTGTGCATATACTATGTTGTTTTTTTAAATCAATATACCCTTGCCTATTTTAATTTATTTTTTAATGAAAAAAAAGTTTAGCTCCTGAAAATGTACAGACAGAGCATAATGCCTATTACTACAATAATCCCATTGATTTCCAATACAGTTACTCATAGCAGCAAGCATTATGCTTGGTAGTAAGCATTTGCAGGATCAGAACTTTAGCCTACAGTATGGATAAGAACCAACTAAACAATAGGAGGGGAAAAAATCAATTGGAGTGGTAGAAAAATATTCATAAGCATATTTCACTTTCTTTTTAGAACAAAAACAATTAGTCAGTTTTTAGTTTAGGACTAAACTAATTTCCAACATGGTTGCCATTGTGTACCTGGATTTTACTTTATTTATTTTTCAATGGCACTTCTTGAAGACATGCGTAAGATTTTCCAGGGACCCTACAGAAAATTAGGCTCATTGTTTGCAGTGTCACAGCCAGAGCAAGTTCTGAAAGCCAAGTTATAACTAGAAGATTTATATAGGAACTGACACAATCTAACCTTGAATACAGCAAACACAAATGGTGTGTCTATCATATTCCTTTGAAATATTGTTTTCTTAAGGTTAATGGAAACAAACAACTGCACTTGTATATTCCCACAAAAAACAACCCTCAAAAAACAACAAATTATCCAATTCTGAAAGGTTAAATAAAATGTTTAACACAATGCATTTAAGCTTTAAAAAAAACTGGTAAAATTGATTTGTGCATAAGAACTGTGAAGCCTGCCAACTCCATTGACAGGGCATTGAAGGGCATGAAATATTGCTGCATTTATCTTTTCTTCCACTTTAAAAAAGTTTTTATATTTTAAACCATATCCTATCATAACAAAGACACATCTACTCAATAGTTATGAATTTGTTTTAAAAAAGAAAACACACAAGTATTTCATGGATATTGTACAAATCAAAGACATTTCACCTCAACACTATAAAAGTCTGGCCTGCCACAAAACATTTCACATTCATAAAAGAAAAATTTGGAGTTACAACACTAGGTACTGAAGTTAGTGAGACATAATTTTGAGACACTGTATGTTAAACAATGTATAACTTCAGGTCCAGTTCTGCAAACCATCCACTGATGGAACTCCCATACAAGTCAACAGGACTACTCTCACAAGACAGACCACTCATGTAAAGCTTTAAAGAATTAGGCTTGATATTTGTTGAAAACGCAAAAGCCCGGTTTGGGGACAAAATGCTAACTCACAAGCGTTTTAAAGCCTTCCAGAAGAGCACAGAGAATCTTTAATATTTTAAAAAGCAAATTCTTTCTACTATTAAACCAACACTAAAGCAGGATGGTCTCCCATATTATTATTCTGCATGACTGTCAACACCAACGGTGGGAATGTCAACCTTTATTTTACACGTGATATGAGCAATGCTTAGTGTGAATTTTCAGATAGCTTTAAGCAAAATAAACGCAATATATATCACAGCTAGATAGTAAAACAACAAATTTTGGTAGAATACTTACATTTATTCAACAAACAGGACCAAACCCTGAAGTCAATTAGACTACTTGCATGAATAAGATGAGCACAATTTTCACCCATAATTTTGTAAAAGTTCCAACTTCTTTTTTTTAAAACGAAACACAAATGTATAAATAACAAGCCTGTAACTAATTAAGAGTACAAGTAAATTATCAATCAAGCTTTACAGAAGTGACCGGAGTGTCTCAGGTTTCTTTTAGTAATATTCATTTTTCTTCTCTTTGGGGCCAGATCATTAGTCTACACATTTGAAAAGATCTGATACTCCCATTAGCAAAATAAAATGCATAAAGCATTTTTTATTTAATTATGCTAACATCTCTTTCTCCCGGTCTCTTACAGTTGGTCTTTTAACCATGTTGGAAACATGAGCATTCACTTGGGGAGAGGAAAAAAAAAATCAAACACAAAATGATAAAACTAAGATTTGAGGATGACTTACCAGTTCTGTTAGATAATTTCTGCCCCCATCATCAGATCCAACCAAATAAATTAATAATATATGGCCAAATATAGATCTGAACCTGCAGTTTTTCCATAAGCAAATCTCCCACAGAAGTTGTTAATTTTACAATCAAACCCATAATTAATGATAGAATCCATTGAACTCTGGCCCAAATTCAGCAAAACAATTATAGCATTTTTTTTTAAAGCATGTAAGTAATCCCACTAACTTCAATGAGACTTCATACATGCTTAAACTTAAGCACAATTTAAGTGCTTCAGTGAATCTGGGCCTGTATGAATAGAAGGGCTGCAAAAACAAAAACAAACAAAAGGAACAAACGATTTTCTGCCTGAAAAGTCCCACCAATTCCAATGATTAGCCTTTTTTAACGTTGCTTTTTAATGTAAATTATAGTCGCTAGTTAGTTTACACCAGAATTATCAGAAAGAAAAGTTACTGCACGTATTCCAACAATGCAATGGTGAAATACACCGGACAGAAAAAAACAAGCAGGATAATTAAAAGAAACTATCACATACCTTTTAATTTACTATGTTATTTGTGTTTTAAGTTGTTCTAATAAAATCAAATGAGATCACATTATGGTATAATCCAGGGCTAGTCAACAGGCAGACCATGGGCCAAATCCAGATCAGCACACACTTGAACGGACCATGAAATCTTTTTATCATCATCATTAATGTTACTGAAGTGTGAAAAATGTTTCACTGGAGTCTGGACCTTGACTATATGTTGACCAAGAAAAGTGGACATTGACAAAAAATAATTGACTATTCCTGATTACTAAGTAAAATATGTTTTGTATCGGAAGATAAAAATATGTAGTGCTTTTAAGAAACACCTTTAGAGTCACTTAGTCACCTTGGAATGCTTAGGAGATAGTCTAGGGTAACACTCAGCTCATCCATGTTTGTCTGTTCAAGGCATAATGGAATTGTCAGAATGAGGCCACTTCGTCTGTCCTTCCCTCCTATTAAAAAAAAAAAGGCATTACAAAGATTTAATGTAGTTTTAAGATAAAAATACACATTTTCAGCTACATAGTCTCAAACTACATGTTACTTGTGAAACTGCTATAAAGATTACAAGTGAACAAAAGTGCTGTGAGTTGTGGACAGTGCTGTAATTAAAGAACATTTTGTGAAGCATATCTTGGACGTTAAAACAAAGTTACATAATAGACTAAATGAATTTGTAACCTACCGGTTAATGACATGCCCAAAACACAGGGTTTGGTCATGAGGTGACCTTAATGCAAAACACGGTTTATAATATATATTAACAACTTTGAACACTTAAAAAATCTCAATGTCTTTTCAATAAGACTATACATTTACATTAAGGTCTCCAATCTAGGAAGGTACTTTAGCATATATTTGCCCTCAATAGAACTATTAATGCGCTTTAAGTTAGGCACATGCTTACATACCTTGCTGAATCAAGGCCCAAAAGGTGGAAACGTAGAGCATTTGATCAAGATTATTTTTTAAAGGGTGCCTGAAGTTAGGCTCCTAAAGCCATATGAATGGCCATATTTTCAGTTACTAAATACGCAAGAACCCACAATGGCCTGTGTATCTAGATCGGAACAACAGTAAGTACATTGTACAGCTTCTGTTAGCACACAGCAGATTTTCATCCAAATATAAAGAAACAATGAATATGTCAGAATCAAAACATACAAGATTTAAGGCCTATTTTCATAGGCATAGATCACCCAGAACTCTCACCGAAGCGTTGAGAGCTGTGAGTGCTCTGAAAATCAGGTCCTTGATGTTTTATTCATAACACTTTTTAGTATGTAGGGAAAGGAATTCATAGTCATTTCACTAGATCTCATGAAGTGATGAGCTTTCAGTACTGAAGGGGTCGACTCTTGACTCCATCGCCCACTTTTTACATTCTCAAACAAACACCATCATTCTTTCTCCCATGCTTTCCCCGCCGACTTGGGACGAGTTCCCTGTAAACATTCCCGAAGTCATTTCTTTGTTCTCTTTCAAATCCTGTGTTTGTACAGTGCCTAGCACAATAGGGTCCTTGTCCAGAACTAGGACTCCTAGGTACTACAATAATTCAAAGGAATACAGCAGAACCCTGTTTATCTGATCTAACTGGGACAGGGGACAGATCAGATAATCAAAAAACTAAATAAAAAGTGGAAAATGGGAAAGTGCAATGCTATACCGCCATCTGGTGGTCACAAGAGAGATCTCCCCCTTCTGGACGGGTGTGCGCTGGTTGTTCAGTTAACACAGAAAACCAGATAATGACGGATCAGATCAAAGGGGTTCTATTGTAATAACACCACCACCACCAACTTAAGAAAAAGGCACTTCCAAGTTTGCTCGCAATAAAGATGAGGTACTGAAATTAAAGTATACTTTACATTTGATATCACACCACAGATTATATGTAAACCATTGACCAAACAAATGCTTTTAATCTCATTTGAAATGGCTGTTTAAACCATGTGGTAGATGCCCACAATACTAGATACTAACAATATATGGCTAGGGCCTGGCCTATGCCATGTCCCCGTTTTGCCTCTCCGATTCTCTTCAGAAACCTGTGTTGTGAGACTAAGAAAAATCACATCAGCTCTGCCCTATGGCTGCTTGGGGAGAGTTATGAGCAACAGAAGAGAGGCATACTGGAATTATTCGCTAGTGAGAAGGGCAAAACACAAAGGCAGAAGAAGGGCAGAGTAGCAGACATACATCCATTACAGCAAAATAGAATGAAGGACAGGTAAAGAAACAGAAGTGTCCCTACCATACACTACAATCACAGGTGCCAGGAGGCTGAGAGCAAATTTGGGGAAAATCAAAAGGTATGCTCATTATTAGACCTACTAGCCATAGGCTGATAGGGAATATGGAGCCACCAAAACAGGTGCAGCATTTAGGTAGGAATCGCTGCATCCTCCTCCTTCTCAGTTGCTGGGTGGGATAATAGCTCTCACCTGACTGTTGTCCCTGGACATATCCCTCTCATGTCCCTGCCATCACGTATCAGTTCTACCACTCACATTCCCACAGTATAACACTGCAAGGTATCAGTTTGACATGGAAATTCTAATGGATGCCCTGTTTCCAGTGCTAGTTACTGATTCACCGATGTAGCATAAGCAAAGCTGCAAGGATTGAACAGAATGTTATATCTTTGCACTTGGATCTTTTCAGCAACCACCTTCCTGAGAAATTGTATTTCAGGCGAAAAACATGCTGCTTATCTAATTTTTTAGAATGAAATAAAGTACATGGAAATGAACAGATATAAACTGCAGCATGATTTACAAGTTGGTCCAATAGCTTTTTAAGCCACCACTTTGGCCTTATAATATAATCTTTTTCTATCCTTCAGCCTTTTTTCTTCCAAATCTTCCACATCTGCATTAATAAACCAGTTTCAAAGTAAACTGTAAATCTCAGTAGCTTTGAAGGTGCTCTGATTTTCTTTGCCATTGCTTATTGGGATAAAAGATTTCTTAAATGTATTAACCTTTTTGTAAAATCCTGCAGGATCGTCTAATATAACAAGGAGTTACTTATAGACAGTAAGGGGACAGTATCCTAACCACTTCAACCAGACCTGGAAAGCTGGAGTTTGTATGATAGATAATAATTTCAATTTTATTATTGATGGAAATGGAGGTGGGGGAGGAGAATTGTTTTCAGAGATGCTAAAAAGGCAAGTTTTTCCTAAGTGATTTTAAATACCTTGAATATTAAGTTAAGAAAGGCATTAAATCATCATGTTCTTGCTTCATGACAGCAGCTGATCTAAATGGAATTTGAATTATGACCACTCAGTCCACAAAGCCACTTAAAGAGAGTCCTATCTGTGCAGAATTATATATGAGATAAGCCAGACACACACAAAATCTGAACACGAGTATCAAGTGTCGAAGCTACAAACTGGTATACACGCAGAGGGGCTCTTTCCCAAGATAAGCCTAGATGCAGGTGACATAACTTGGCCATTTATACAATTAGTGTTGGAATTATAACTACAATAATAGTTAAAAGTCTGTTCTTTTTCAAAGCCATTAAAAGCCCAAACCTGGAATTAAAAATCCAGTGATGATACCAGGAATATAAAACAACTAGGCATATTTCCATCCCTCACAAAGGGCCAGATTCTGTACACCTTATTTATACAATTAGCCCCCTTAGGTTCAATCAGACTACTTGAAGCAAGAAAGGGTTTGTTTTTTTTTTGGCCCCCTGGAAGTCATCCAGGAAGTTTATAGCAGTTTTCTATCTATCTTTCTAACCATGATGGCCCAAGAGAATGCCAACATAGATTGTTGATAACCAGCTATAGGGGGGTTCAGCAGTCTGAGCAGTGTAAATGTTAATTTTATCACCCTTGTTGCCACCTCCTTTCCCAGGAACAGACAGAGAAGGGAACTGAGGGGCTCTTGAGTATGGGTTGGCCCCTCCCCCAGAAACCAGTAAGCTGCTGTAGGACAGTTCCTGCTAGAGTTGTCTCCATTCTGTAGTTCACTGTTTTGAGCAGCAGAAGCTGCAGACAGCTGCCTTTGCCTCTTCTCTTCCTGAACAGCAGAGGCTACTGAAAGCCCAACCAGTAGCAAAGGAGGGATCTTAAATGAGAAAAAAAAAAAAGGAAGGAGGGGAATTGGATCAATATTGTTCAGAAGTTGAAGGGTTGCCTTTACCTTTTCGCTTGAGTCTGAGTGCACTTTAAAAAAAGCAGTTTCTCTCCTCCAGTTATATTGCTTACAAATATATTAAATTAAACAAATAAGAATAAAATAGTATTTGTCTTAGGATCTGAAACCATTGTAAGTCAAGTGTAAGTCAAAAGCCATGTTTCTCCACTGATAGTTTGTCTTCACAAAGTTCTCAAAAACAAGAACAAATCACTAAATAAGGATAGGAGTGCTACTAAAAACATCAACCAAAATATGGTCTTCCACCATCAAAAACCAAACCACATTTCTCCTAAGAGGCAGGAGGATATATCCCTCTCCAATACTGAGTTTAGCTCTGAGCAAGCAGACAGCAGAAAAAAAAACAGACAAGCATGGCCCATCCACAAATGTTGACATCAAAGAAACTGTTTTGGAGCTGAGCTCCATGAAGGCTAAATTCAAGCAGTAGTTACAGATCTTAAAAATGGATGCACGATGGAAGAAGTAGTAGACCAAATGAATGAGCAAAGTACCACTGTCACATAGGTAGCTGACATCATCTTCCTTTCCAAATGCAAACAGATGGACATCGTAACAAAACACTTTAGATAAGCTATTACCAGCAGGAGAGTGGGGTGGGGGGAGAGAAAACCTTTTATAGTGGTAAACACCCATTTTTTCCATGGTTTGTATGTATAAGAACATCTTCTGTATCTTCCACAGTATGCATCCGATGAAGTGAGCTGTAGCTCACGAAAGCTTATGCTCAAATAAATTGGTTAGTCTCTAAGGTGCCACAAGTACTCCTTTTCTTTTTGCGAATACAGACTAACACGGCTGTTACTCTGAAACCAGGATTAAAACAAAACAAACAGAAGATGAAGGGACTTGGAGCTGAAACTCAAAGACCTACATAAAAAAACAACACAAACAGCAAATGAAAAATAAAGATGTCCCTGAAGCGACCCGACTGTACTTGTAGAGGTTCTATTTAAATAAATTCTAGTCAGAGAAGAAAAAAATCTATATTCAAGCCTATTGTGCTTTCTTCCACCAGACCACATCAGGAGTCTGCCCCACAGAGAATCAAACATCTGTCTCCATTAGTATGCCAACAAGAATCAAACCATAAGAAAAACCAAGGAATAAAGGATCCTTTAATGGTCCAAGGGTACAGAATTGCAAGAAACTGGTCCATCAAATTTTAACCTTTAAAATAAGGCAAGTTCTCTGCTGCATTGTGTCACACACCAGTGAGATTTTCCTTGAAATTGTGCTTCTCACATAAACCACATCTATTTGAGCAAAAA